AGGCTTGGGCGGCAGGCGCGTGTGCTGGTCACCCTCTCCCATGCTGTAAAGTCCTGAGGGCGGCTGTGCCTTCCCATCCACAGCACCCAGCAGTGTCCTCTACAGAACACACACACAAGAAGCCTTCCTCGGATGTGTATTTTGAAGCTATATCAATGGCTACCATCACCATCATCAAACTTCCCTCTGCGTGAAAGGCGGTGCGAGCTCTGCGAGGAGCGACACAGGCTGCTCTGTCACGGTTGCTAGCTGGTCTGTGGTGAAGTGCCCTGGGTATCACCCTGCCCGCTCCCACCCCACAGCCCTATCCTCTGCTTGTAGCCCCTGTCTTAGTCCATTTAGTGTGGCTATAGCACTGCACTGAGACCGGGTAATTTATAAAGAAGAGAGGTTTACTTGGTTCAAGATTCTTGTGCTTGGAAAGTGCGAGATCGGCAGCCCATCCACTGAGGGTTTCCTGTTGCTTCAACTCACGGCAGAAAGAGGAAAGGATCACATGGCGAAAGAAGAAGCAAGAGAGAAACTGAGGCAGCAGGCTCTTCAACAAGCCACTCTCGAGGGAACTAATCCATTCTCCAAAGAGGGAGAACTCGCCACCGCACAGGAAGGCGTGATTCACGAGGGACGTGCCCCAGGACCCAGTCGCCTCCCATGAGGCTCCAGCTCCCAGCACTGCCACCTGGGGATTCAGATTTCCACGCGAGTTTGGGGGGAGGCAAACCACATCCAAGCCAGAGCCCCTCTCGGCCCGCAGGCTTGGGCGGCAGGCGCGTGTACTGGTCACCCTCTCCCATGCTGTAAAGTCCTGAGGGCGTCTGTGCCTTCCCATCCACAGCACCCAGCAGTGTCCTCTACAGAACACACACACAAGAAGCCTTCCTCGGATGTGTATTTTGAAGCTATATCAATGGCTACCATCACCATCATCAAAATTCCCTCTGCGTGAAAGGCGGTGCGAGCTCTGCGAGGAGCGTTTTTTTTTTTTTTTTTTTTTTTTTTTTGATTAAGAGAATTCCATCACTTTTGCCTCAAAACCAATTTTACACTTAATAACCCCACCTTCAAGAATTTCTGCAAATTTCATTTACATTAATTTAAACTCATTTTCTCCTGGGCTGGAACCTCCTTCTGCTTTTTTAAAAAGCAAACTCCTTTGACTCCAGAAGGATCTCAACATCATGTGTTAATTAAAAAAAAAAAAGGAGATGAATGAGGTGGTTTTTTTTCTTTGAAGGTCATTGAAGACAAAAGATCTTGCTGAGCAATTAATATAACAAGAGGCTGCTTCTCATGCCTTCTAGGGTGACGGAAAGTAATGCATCCCTGTGGAAAGAGGCATGTCACCCTAGGAGATGTGTCTAGACGGCACGACCATGCCTGCTGTGTGGGGAGCTCGGTCTGGCAGCTCCCACCTGCGTGGACCGACTCCCCGCAGAGGCTGAGGACCCCTCCGTCCCCCGCCCCCGCGGCGCTGCTGTCCCTAGCACCTGGCTCCATTCCAATTTGCACAGCAACAGCACTGGCTGTTTCTCCAGCGTTTGGAGAAAAGCAGAAAGTGACTCGCCTCCTCCCCACCCCCCTGCAGTTATGATGGGAGCTTGGGCTCAAGGAAGCCCTTCAGCAAGAATCCAGAAAACCCGAGGGCTCCACTGCACAGGTCCCCCAAACCTCCAGTGAGAATGGGGGACGCAGCGTGCAAGCCAAGTTCTGAGAGCTGCCTGCTTCCCCTCTAGGGGAGGCCTCCTACAACATCCACCCTCCTAAGGACAGTCTCCAGAATAGATGGCAACACTCATAATCCTCTGCACTTGACATTGGTCATTTGGCTTTTCACAGCAATAAATGAGATTCTGTGACTATTTCAGACATCAGAGGGAGAAATGGAGCCCTGTGCTGCAGGCAATGGGACTTCTGCCTCCCGCTTCCCACTCGCCAGCAGCCTCACCCTGCGCGCACAGCAGGAAAGCCACCACGGCCTGCACAGACGTTGGGAGTAAAGCCCCACAGGTGCTGACGGTGAGTGACCGTTTGTGAAAGCCTCTCCCTCTCTGCAGACCTGGGTCCCCTCTCTGGGCCTGACATCCCCCTCTGGGCCTGGTCACCACCACTACCCCAGGCCTGGGTCCTCTTTCTATGCCGGGGCCCCCTCTCCAGGCTTACGTCCCCCTCCCCAGGCCTGGGTCCCCCTCTCCAAGCCTGAGCCCTCTATCCATGTGGGGTCCCCCATTCTGGGCTTGGGTCCTTCATTTCGGGCTTGGGTTCCCCTCTCCAGTCCTGGGCCCTCCCTTTCTGGTCCCTGGTCTCCCTTGCTAGGCCTGGGCTCAACCTCTCTGGGCCTAGGACCCTGTCTCCAGGCCCAGGCTCCCCTCTCTAGGCCTGGGCCCCCCTCCGGGCCTGGGTCCTCTTTCTGGGCCTGGGTCCTCTCGCCAGGCCCGGGCCCCTCCCCATGTGGGTTCTCTTTTACACTTGTTTGCCCCAACTCCCCTTGGCTGCTGACTCTGGGCTGTCTGTGCGCTTCTCCAAGCTTCGGTTTGTGTCCTGCTGTGTTAGGTTTTGCCAACTCCATCCCTGACCCAATGAAGGTACTGATGACTTCCACCCCTACGAATGAGGCTGCACACACCCAAGCCAGGAGGGTTAGACGCCTGGCCCCACCAGCAGCCACTCCTGGTCGTTTTATGATGCCAAGGCCCTGTCTCTGGAGCAGGTCTCCAGCCCCCTGCCCCTGCCCCCAGCTTTGGAGGAGCAGAAGCTCTGAAATCAGACTCACCAGCTATGTCCTTGGCGATGACTTTACTCGCCTGAGGCTTTGGGAGCTTGTTTATAAAATGTGAACAACAGTGTCACAAGCATTAGAAACAGCTCACATAGGTGCACGCCTCACAGAAGCGGCAGGTGGTCACACAGCTGCCAAGGGGAAGACAGGGGTTTGAAAGGGCCTCCAAATCCAGGGGACTTTTTGCTCTACCACTGGGATGCCTGCCCCATGGATTTTAAATGTTTTCACATTCTGAGCCTGAATGCTACCAAAAGCCACTTGGAATGCCTGGAAAATCACCAGCTGCCTCTAAACTGTGGTCTGAGTTCCAGGAGACGTTGTCATGTCAGGAAGCCTCATGCTGGGGAAGCAAGACTGGTGTTCTGTCAAGCTGCGGGGGCACTGCTTACCCCTCTGTCCCTAGCAGAAGAAGGATCCCGTTGTTAATCATTGCTGTCCATGACAGCTTAGAACTATGCGCCGTCTTCAGTCTTCAGAAAACCACCATGATTTTGTCTTCATGGGCTACCAAAAACAAGTGTGGTGTGAGCAAGCCCCTTTCTGACTGTGGGGGGTTGTTCCCAGGTGCAAAACCTGATCTCCAAGTTCTGGTGTAAAACCACCATGATTTTGTCTTCATGGGCTACCAAAAACAAGTGTGGTGTGAGCAAGCCCCTGTCTGACTGTGGGGGGTTGTTCCCAGGTGCAAAACCTGATCTCCAAGTTCTGGTGCGCACTGTGAGGGCCTTTCCCAGCTCCGGGCCAATCTGCATCGTGATTCCCCTTGGGATGCCTGAGTACCACTGATGACTGTGATTCAGTCTTGTGATACAGGCTCAGCCATCACACACCTCCATGTGTTAAAGATGACAGAAGTCAACTGAAGAGACCCAGTTCCAAAGGCATGCAAGAAGAAATCAAACTAGTTGGAGAAAAACAGAATTTCATAATAATTTGATTCTGCAATTCAGGCTCGCTGACTTACAGACTCATGTTCTTAAGCCTACAAGGATCAAAAATTCAGCATGAATTCTGTTAGCAAATGGAGCAGTAAGAATGTGAATCGGAGTCAAATTATGCGAGTTCAAATCTAAATCTAATTACAGCTGTGTGACCCTGAGCAGAATATTTAAACTTTATATATCATTGACTCATACGTGTTTCTGTAAGGATTAAATAAACTAATCGGATGTAAACTGCTGGCACGTAGTAACTGTTGGGCACCTCTTCGTATCGCTCATAAGACGATGCTGATCCCAGGCAAGAATAAAAAGCATTTGGTTAAGGACATTTCATCAAGTAGAAACTGTTGATGCTCCTGCCAGTTCTGAGTGGCTGAGAGCGAAAAGGCAAGGGGTGGTGTTGAAGCAGAGGGGAGATGCACTTCTGACTTACCCCTAGGAGCCCGAAGCGTTCGGCCAGGCTCCAGCCGCAGAGGAAGTCAATTTCAAACTTGTGGTTGAGAACCACGATGGCATTTTCCTTTCCATACTTGGGGTAGGCCCGCGGGTCAGTGTAGATGATGCTCTGACTGTGGGGGGTTGTTCCCAGGTGCAAAACCTGATCTCCAAGTTCTGGTGTGCACTGTGAGGGCCTTTCCCAGCTCCGGGCCAATCTGCATCGTGATTCCCCTTGGGATGCCTGAGTACCACTGATGACTGTGATTCAGTCTTGTGATACAGGCTCAGCCATCACACACCTCCATGTGTTAAAGATGACAGAAGTCAACTGAGGAGACCCAGTTCCAAAGGCATGCAAGAAGAAATCAAACTAGTTGGAGAAAAACAGAATTTCATAATAATTTGATTCTGCAATTCAGGCTCGCTGACTTACAGACTCATGTTCTTAAGCCTACAAGGATCAAAAATTCAGCATGAATTCTGTTAGCAAAGGGAGCAGTAAGAATGTGAATCGGAGTCAAATTATGCGAGTTCAAATCTAAATCTAATTACAGCTGTGTGACCCTGAGCAGAATATTTAAACTTTATATATCATTGACTCATACGTGTTTCTGTAAGGATTAAATAAACTAATCGGATGTAAACTGCTGGCACGTAGTAACTGTTGGGCACCTCTTCGTATCGCTCATAAGACGATGCTGATCCCAGGCAAGAATAAAAGCATTTGGTTAAGGACATTTCATCAAGTAGAAACTGTTGATGCTCCTGCCAGTTCTGAGTGGCTGAGAGCGAAAAGGCAAGGGGTGGTGTTGAAGCAGAGGGGAGATGCACTTCTGACTTACCCCTAGGAGCCCGAAGCGTTCGGCCAGGCTCCAGCCGCAGAGGAAGTCAATTTCAAACTTGTGGTTGAGAACCACAATGGCATTTTCCTTTCCATACTTGGGGTAGGCCCGCGGGTCAGTGTAGATGATGCACTCGGTGCCCGACCACCACTCCAGCAGCATCACCAGCTCTGGAACAAACCACAACAACAGACGCTCATTAATTTCATGCCTCCTTTGGCCTCTGGGCTACAGGGAGCCTGGCTCTGCCCTCCCGGCCAGGGCAGAGATCAACTTTACTGGGGGTAAAGTTCTGGATCACTTCGGCCTAGACCCCAGCCCTTGAAAGGGTTTAAAAGCAGAAGGGAAAACGAGAAAGACTCCACATTCTTCCACGTGTCCCCAACACTCTCCAGGGAAGGAGAAGAGGAAGCTTTGAGAAGGCAAATGACTCACTTCCTTGCTTTAGTACCTTGGAGGAAAATAAATCGGAAAGGCTGAGTCCATTGAGAATCATGTGCCCTAGTGTTTACAGAGCTCTGAAAGGCAGCGTGAGATGACGCAAAGGATTCTTAATATCCATGGAAATGACCGATTGGGATACTTGTAAACTCCTTCAAAGAACACTAAATACCCAATTTTCCTCTACCCAATTTTTTTTTAGCACACTTGAGGGCACCAGGAGTAAAGGAGACCTGGGGTGTGGAAAGCAGAAGCTCCAGCCCCTGAAGGCCCGGGTCAGCTACAGCCACCAGACTGCAGGCCTGCATGAAACTTTCAAAATATTTATAGGAAATTGTGAAAATGCAGAGGTTCTTTTTTCAGGCAATAATGACCAATTTGAGTTTATTGTTTAGTGATACCTCTAATCCAGGAGACGACTTCCCAGTCTGGTTGCCCCAGGAAAATCTTATATGGTAGAAACTGTCCAGAAAAACAGCAGATGCTGGTGATTATGCAGCTCTCTGAAATGAATTTTTACAGCTAACGGTGATGGTTGGGCGGGTGGGTGAGCGAATTGAGTGCTCTGCAAGGGCCCTTCCCCTTTTTATCATGCACCCACTAACCCGATGGCACCCACTCACCCCCCCACCTCCCACACACATAAAGGCAAATGGGTCTGACTTTGATTCCAGCCAAGCCTCATTTAAAGCCTTGACCCTTGAAACCGTCCTCCTTGTAACCCGATGGCACCCACTCACCCCCCCACCTCCCACACACATAAAGGCAAATGGGTCTGACCTTGATTCCAGCCAAGCCTCATTTAAAGCCTTGACCCTTGAAACCGTCCTCCTTGAGCCTGCAGGCTGGAGCTTTGTGTGGAGCGCAGAACTGTCTAGAAGGCATCCATCACAGTCTAGTTTTGAAGCAGGGAGCACTGGGGGACTTGGATAAGATACCTTGCAGTGCGTCAGTGTCCTGATCTCGGAACGGGATTGCTTCACAGGGTTGCGAGAATTAAGGTGCACACATATTGCAGGAGCTCAGCGTACAGCACACTGTGAGTTCCCAGCAAATTGAAGCTGTCAGAATCATTAAAAATGAACAAAAACACTCCCCTGCCTTTCCCAGGGGTGAACAGTAAAAAGCGTCTCCCCATTTCTAGGAGCTGAGAAAGGGCCCAGCCCCCACGCCGTCGTCAGTGCCAGGTGGGAGCAGGAAGTGGCGAGTCCAGGAATGAGGTGAGCCTCTGAGGGTGGGGAAGGGGCCCGAGACCACCGTGCAGCCCTGACGGAGGGACCCAGGGACCGTTTGTTATGGCTGGAGACTGGGTGGGAAGATGCCTTTACTGCTGCACTGATTTCTTCTAGGAGACCGAGTGGGCAGGACCTATCTACTCAGGACTGGCCAAGGAGCACAGACAAGCACCAAAGCAGAACTACCCAGCTCGGTGAGACAAACTGAACGGCTCCAGGAGACGCACGTCTCCTATGGGTCGCCTCAGTGAATGACGCCTCTCAGTGCAGCTCCTCCCTGCCCCAGGCCTGTTTGCCCCTCCCCCTTCATGTGCCCCCCAGCACCCTGCCCAGCCCTATCACAGCTCACGATCTCAGTGTGAGATTAGCTCCCCCACTGCACACCACAGGGCAAGAAACACATTGTTTGGTTTGCTCTAACCCTAGCCTTGACTCCAGTACCCAGCAAGAGCCTGAACACGGATGTCTTAACAGTGTGTGGTCACCTACTGTGGACACACATTCAGAGCAGATCCCTGCTCTCCTGGAGCTTGCTGTCCAGAGGGAAGACAGCAAAACAATGACACAACAGTGTGACAAGGGAAAGGAGAGAGATCTGCTAATAGGATGGCTGCTGAATGTCATGCTCATGGATCTGGGAGTCAGACACACGCAGGCTCCGGTCCTGGTGGTGCCACTTAGTGGTTGTGAGACTTTTGACATGTTTCTCAATGTCCCCTCCTTGTCTGTAAAACGGGGATAGTAAACGCCATCAGAGATGCTTCAAGTATCCGATCAGATTATGTATTCAAGGCACCCAGCATGATGTTGTGCATGGTAGATAATCAATAAATGAAATAAATCGCCAGCTTTTTACTACTATTATATGTGTGATAATCTTATCACACACAAGGCTCCGTAGCCACTGAAGGGGGCGGGGGAGGTAGATAATCAATAAATGAAATAAATCGCCAGCTTTTTACTACTATTATATGTGTGATAATTTTATCACACACAAGGCTCCGTAGCCATTGAAGGGGGCGGGGGAGAGACAGAGACAAACAGAGACCCACACAGAGAGTATTACAGAGACTTCTGGACCACAGTAAGGAGTTATGATGTATGATTTTTACTTTAAAAGCAATGAGAAGTCACTAAAACTTTTTATTTATTTTTAAAAATTTATTAATTGTTCTTACATTCTAAGATGCTGTTGCAGAGCAGGTGGGGGTAGGGGGAGAAGGAAAGGGGAAGGGAAATAGGGTGGGCGGAGGGGGAACGAGGTGGAGTATGGTCAAGACCCGCACCCCTCATTCTGGTGGGGGAGACCAGGGGTCTTCCAGCGGCGACTGGAGCATTTTTAAATGGGCACACACCAGCATCCAATTTGCATTTTGAAAAATCACTTTGAATGAAGTGGGCACAGACTGGAATAGGGAGCCAGGTAGGAGGTGATGATGGCAATGGCCCAGCAAGAGGTGATGGTGGCTGGGACCAGGTGGTGACAGTGGAGAAAGACCCAATTTCTCACTCATCTCAGTGGGCCATCAACTATACGATCGGACTCTAAATCTCACTGGGCGGAAGAGTTTTATTTCCCTTTATTTTCCTTTTCATTTTTACCAAAGGGTTTCAATTTTTTTATTCATGAGAAATGCATTTACATAGTCACATTGTAAAAGGATTCCAACAAGCCAGGAGTGCACAGAAGAGGTGAACTTCCTCTTGATGGCTTTGGAACTGTCAATTACGCTAGCCTGCACTATGTCTCCCCCATGCCCTTTCTTGTATGTTTCTGGCTCGGGGGCGCCACTTGGGAGGTTTGGGAGGTAGGAGGGAAGCAGCGTCATTGTGTAGGTCACACGTGCAGTGCTGATCTGCTGACCCACCTCTTCCATGTGACGCATTGGCTGGGCCTGCAACTGCTCCCCTTCCCCTGGGTCCTCCACCAGCTTCCCTGACTCCTGAGCCAGGTGCTTGTGTCTAGCTCTGTGACAAGGGGTCCATCTTGTGCAGGACACCCACACCGTCAATGCCAGATGCAACAAGGACTGACACAAGTTTCAGCCCATTCTCATGGGGCTCCAGCTCATGCTTGGCGGTTCGAAGCTCTTCATCTCCCGCACTTTACATCCACCTATCACCCCTCCCTGACTGCCTGTCCTGTGGACTCCAAGCTCCAGCACCAGAGGCAGAGATGACAGCCCTACAGAGACTGACTGACCAGCCCCCAGAGTTGACCAAGGCCAATTCCCGCAACCAATCCCTTTATGGATGTGAACGTCTCCCAGTGGCTCTGCTTCTCTGACTGAACCCTGGCTAACACCCTTCCTCTTCTCCCCAACCCTCCTCCCTTCTCCAGGGTTAAACATTATGAACACTTTGGAAGGTAAACTTCTAGTCCTTTTCCTAGGCACATACATGCGCATGCACACACATACACACACAACATGTGTTTTCCCTCCACAAATGGGCTCGTACTTTATTGATGACTGTAAACAGATACATATTTGTTTTCACCAAACAGTATATTTTAGGTCTTTCTACATTCATGCATATATAGTGATATCAGCAAGTATTTATCGAGCTCTGGCCATGTGCTAAATGCTTTACCTGTGGTACTGCATTGCATATGCATTAACTCTATGAGACTAGGAGGCACTATAATTATCCCATTTTATTTTATTTATTTATTTATTTATTTCCCCTTTTTTTGTCTTTTTT